GGGGGGCTCCCAGCCAGCGGCCCTGCAGGACCCCCTGGCAGGCTCCCTTCCTGCGGCTGCACCCAACGGCTGGTTGTTCCATTTGGTTCTCTGCTGCAGTTTAAGCCCCCCAGCAAAATTATCTCAAATCCGGTCAATGGAAGCTGTGAGATTTTGGTGGGAGCACATGAGTGGCCCCTCCCCCGCCCAGCAGAGAGCCACAGGGAGCAGCCAGCCCCTTAAAGCCTGAGGCTCCCAGTGGGGTGACCCGCAGGCTGGACCCCACAGCTCAGGGGTCGAATCCTGCTCAGCCCTGCTCCGGCTGCGCAACGGGGCATTGGGGCCAGCGCTGCCTGCGCGGGAACTGCCCCTCCCCCACCCTCATGCCCTGACGCTACCTCTGCTGCTTCCTCCCTGGGAACCAGCCTGTTTCTCAGGGTCCGGCTCCGTGGGCCCAGCCTGGGTGGGGCAGTGTCTGGCGTTGTCCAGTCCTCTCAGAAGGTTCCCGCTGGGAGATGGTGCAACTGGCCGGCTGGGGGCTGAGATCCCAGGTGGGTCTGGAAAGAAACGTCCCTTTGCAGAACTGGGACGAGAACCCAGGGGTCCTGGCTCCCCCATTAAGCTACTGACCCCTGAGCTGCCCCCAAAGCCGGCATAGAACCCACAAGCCTGAGGCCCAGCCCCCAACTCTCCCCCAAACTCCATCTCCCATTCTGAGCAGCTGCCAGCCCAGCATGGTCTCCCAGGGGGTCTCGGACCCTTTCCCAGCCTGTCCCGTGAATCCTCTCTGGCTGCAGGGAGATGCAGCCTGCTCTGGGGTGGGGTAGGGCAGCTGTTTAGCCGCGCAGGGTGATGCTGCCTTGCCAAGGTCAGTCCCCGCCCGGCACAGCGTGAGCTCGTTGGGCAGAGACCGGCTCTCACCCCGGGTTTGGGAAGCCCTCAGGGTATTTGCATTGCTACCCCCAGGCCTGGTGCGACAATGCGGCCCAGTGGTTAGAGTACAGTAGTGGAGGGCTTGGAGTTCTACCCTTGATTTCTCATGGCCTTACTCTGCCTCGCTTTCCTTTCCCATCGATTGCAACTTCTTTGAGGCAGGGGCTGTCTCTGGTTGTGTGTGGGCAGCACCTGGCTGCCCAGACCCCGACCTCTGCTGGGCTCCTCCCATAAGTATCTTCGCTATTTGCTCTCCTATCAGTGATGTAGAGATGGGCAGCGTCATTCCCCCCAAATCTGGCTTTTTGCCCCAATACAAGGAAAAGTGGCTCTTACCTGGGCCCGGGTTAGTGGCTGGGACTCGGGTGTGATCCCACCGCTGGCACTAACAGGAGAGCAGGGAGGTCTGGCAGATAACTACTGGTCACGTTCATCTCTGTCTGTGGCAATAGCCCGAGGTGCTGTGAATGGCTGGTAGCCCAGAGGAGGAAAGGAAACCGTGACAGTAACTTCCTGGCCTTTGTAGCGACAGTGACAGAGGCTTGTGGTCTAGTGGTTAGAGCCGGGGCTGAAAGTGGGGACTGAGGAGTTCCAGCTCCACCCTCTCCCCTTTTCTTCCCCTGGAAGCCTTTTGTTTTGCTGTCTGGCTGCGGCAGAGCAACTTCCACTTTCTCTGGGAAAGGAGAAACCTCAGCCCAGTGCAGGTTGCAATGGGGGATGGGGGGAAGTGTGTGAAGCTGCCTGTTCCTTTTAACCCTTCCGGCCCCAGCGACTCCCCAGCCACAGGCCCAAGGGGGCCGAGAAGGCACCAGCAGTCACGGCTCAGCGGCCCTGACAAAGGGGTGAGGGTCAGTCCTGTTCTAGCTCTGGCCAGCTGGGATCTCAGAGCGTCATGAGCCGTTCTGCCCTTGAAGCAAGAGGAAGGTGTGGGGAAGTGGGGAGTTTTGGAGGTTTAATGGGGAGGATTGCATACAGGGGGGCACTCGGTGCCTGGATGTTACTGGTTTAATGTGACAAAGGTGGGGAGTTTGTTGTTGCAGAGAACAGCCCAGAACTGGAGCTGTGGTGTCTGGTACCCTGGTGATGCTGGCCCTGCGCAGAGGACAGAGCCAGTTCTGGCCCCAGGACCAGGGGTGGCAGGTTTGTATAATTTTTGGTGGTGCCCAGAATGGGTATAGTCCCCACCCTCCACTGCCCACCTACCCGCCCTGTAAGCTGCCCTTCTCACCGCCCTCAGACCTCCTGCGACCTGCCCCCCTCCACCAGCCCTTCTCCCACCCCTGTGCCCACTCCTCCAGTAGCCCCACTCTGATCGTGTGAGCTACCCCTCCTCATCCCCTCTTCCAACACCTCCCTCTACACACCCGCCCTGCCTCTCTCCTCTGGTGCTGGTCCCTACCCTGCAGGTGTTTGCCCTTCTGCTTCACCCCCAGAATATCCTGGTACCTGCACCTTCCCTTACACCTGCACCCTCCTGGTGCCTCCCCCTTCCCATGCTGCCCCTGCCCCCTTTTCCCTCTTTTTCCCTGATGCCCACCCCCTCACCATTCTCTGCCCCCATTCCTCTCATGCCCCTCTGTGCCCTCACACATGACTTGCTCCATCCCCATCTTTCTCATGCCCACCCCTTCTGTCAAAGGCTTCTCCCAGCACCTCCCTCTCCCCCCTCTAGCGTCTAAATTAGCCCTGCACAACATCTAGCTCCCAATGCCCTTCCCCCTCTCCTCTCCCAGCATCACCCTGTCCCCCTCCCACTGACACCTCCCCGCCTGCCCTTTTCCTCACTGTCTCCACTTGGCCCCCTGGCATTTGTCTCTCCTCCACCCTGCCTCTTGGTGCCTTCCGCTTTCTTCTCCTGACCTGCCCGCTCCTCTCCCCACAAGCCCCTTCCTCTCCCACCCCTTCCCTCTATTCCCCACCCTCCACCTTCTTCCTTCCAATGTGCAGCACTTGAGCCTGTGATCGGGTCCCAGCTGCTTCCGGGGCTCCAGACCACTTGCTGGGCCTGGAGCTGTGTCCCGCGATGCAACTCTGGGCTACACGGTTTTAAAGTCCCGGGCTGTGACATCACGCCACGCCCGGGCGTCTCCCCTCTCAGCTGTTGGGTGGCATTTCAGCACGCCGCGCACACGCAGCCTTCCTCCCGGCAGGGACGCTCCGGGGCTGGAGGGGAGGACTCGCGGGGGGGCAGGTGGGGGCCAGGGCCCGCCCCAGGCAGAGCCAGGGGAGAGACCCAGCTCCAAATATTGCTGGAGCTTGGGCACCACGAGCCCATGTCCCTCGTCGCCAATGCCCAGGACCAACAAAAGGCAGCAGAGACGGACCACGGCAACTGGCCCAGCTTGGGGGGAGAACTTTGGATGGGGAGGGAGGCGGAGAAGAGGGGCCGGGCGACCCCCTTACCTTGGGAGAAGACAATGGATGGGGGAGGGGCTGTGGCTGGGGATGTTGGAGGCTCTGCTGGGAGCTGGCCACGGGCAAGGAGATTGAATTATTTGTCGAGCCCCGGAGGGGCCCACGAAGGAAAAAGTGCCTAGCGCCCACGAAAGTCATAACGCGGCCCTGCCTACAGCTCTGGGGGATCGTTTGTGGCGTTCGAAGCTCAACAGACCCTCCTGTTTTGCTGGCTGACAGTCGCTCTGGGCTGGGGAACAGGGGGGTGTTATTCCTCCTGGGAGGGGAGGCCCCGGGGGTCCGGAGGGAGAGGACCCCCCGAGGGGGCTCACGGCGGAGGCAGGTGGCAGCAGAGGCACCAAGGCACCGTCCTGGAGGCGGAGGGGCGGACCCCCAGGTGAGAGTGGGCCCCCCAAGAGAGGGTTGCTGCACTGGAGTGGACTCCCCAAGAAGGGGCTGTTGCACTGGGGGGGCGGGGGGGGTTCGCCCAGGGGCCGAGCGTGGG